CACCGGTCATGCTTTAAAACCGGCGCCGGTTTCATTTTAAACAGCTTTACTACGGTGAGCCGAAGGTCAACCGGCGCCGGTCCACCCCTATAACCGGCGCCGGTTATACCATTTTTTTAACAAATTTCCAGCTACGAAGTAAAACCGGCGCCGGTCAGTCCTATAACCGGCGCCGGTTAATCCCGATTCTGCACAAAACATAGAGACGTGCAGCAAGATCTTGATGGGAAAAACCCACTTTCCTTATGATCTGATCAAATATATCTTCCATGCCTGATTGTTGGGCTCGAATAGACTAAAAGATGCCAATCTTTAGCCTATATAAAGCCCCCAATTCATCAAACAAGATCATTCATTCCATTCTTGAAGATTAAATTTCAGTTTTTATATTTCCTTTTTGCATTTTCTTGAAGTGTTGGAGAAGAAGCCATTTCTCTCCTCTACAATTGGTTCTAGGTATTATTTCTTGTATGTTATTGTATTTCATTGTTCTTAGTTACACTTTTGTAATTAATATGAGCATTAGAGGCTAAGTTCTTAGCTAAGGCTAGGGATGAACTTCTATGCCCACTAGGTGTTTGATAAAAGTTCTAAACCAATAAATTGTGATTTATCCTTTACATTTTGATTGTTTATGACTATGGTGTACAACATAGAAGTATGTTAAACTTAGTTTATGCTTGCAATTAACGTTGAGGTCTAAACTATGAACATTAAAGGATAAACATATATATTACCGAGAATAGAAATATATCCGGTATTATATGATACGGGTGTGATGTCTTGATATTCAACGGGGTTTTCGGTAGATGAATGTAAGCCGTAACGGGACTTACACGTAACGAAAACCACGCTCTCACTGCCTTAACCGGAGTTGAGAATATATTAGCGACATCGTATTCATAATTGTTGGTAAAGAACTAATATTCAACCCTATTAAAGCATTTAAGTGATTCCCGAAGCCTTAGTTGTTGTTATCGATCACTCTAATCAAATTAATTTAAGTTATATCTCTGAAAATTAAAAAGAAGAACCAAGTTGTTGTTTTCACAACAACACACGACTCAAAATCCCTGCACTTTACTCATTTATTTATTTAAAGTCATCTACTCTCGGACTAAATTAAACAACGTTTCCCTGTGGATTCGACCCGGTATTTTACCGGAATTTATTATTATATCGGCACTTGTACACTTGCAAGTTTAGCCCGGTCAAGTTTTTGGCGCCGTTGCCGGGGAAACGGTCTTGTTTAATAAAGTCCAAACAATCAAAAATCCTGAATTTATTTATTTATTTATTTATTTTATTTATTTTTCACAACTTCACTTGATCTTGGAAGGGTTTATTTTTGTGTGTGTGTAGATATTCCTTTGTGTTTGCATGCATTTGAGAAGTCGAGGTTCTAAATTTCAAAACAGCCAATACAGCCAGAAAAGTAACTCCAACCTTACTTTTTCTGCTTATTACACAATCCAGCACACAAAAGTAAAAGTTACGTGTTTGGTGAAAAAGCTGGCTGATAAGCCTGATAAGCCGAAAAAAGAGGTCTCCAAACGGGCTCTTAATTTCAAAACTGTAGTTGTTTGACTTATTTCTCATTTTAAATTAATTGCTTATTGACTATATTTACTCCCTCCGGTTCACATTCTTCTTTACACTTTCCTTTTTGGACCGTCCCAGAATCATCTTTACACTTCCTTATTTACCTTATTTGGCAAATAAATGTACACAAAATAGTGCCAAACAGTGTCAAACAGTGTTCAAACAGTGTCAAACAGTGTCAAAACAGTGCCAAACAGTGCCAAACAGTGTATTCTAAAGCAAAGTCAAATTTATTTCCTTAAAAACCGTAAATTTAAACTGTAAAGAAGAATGTGAACCGGAAGGAGTATATTTCAAGATGCACTAGTGTATATGAGATAAAATATGAACTTATTTCTAAGTATCTTGGAAATGTAAAATGCTTCAATGCCAGTAATGGTAGATGTCAGATGATAATATATATCTATTTTTTTAAAAAAAGTATTTTTAATATTTATAAATACATGACACCTCTGTAACTTTTAATATTTATAAATACATCCTCATAACTTTTAATATTTATAAATATGGTCACATATACGTATCCTACTTTTTTTGGTTTTGTCGTATCCCCGTTCCCGTTTTTGCATTTTCGCGTACCCGTATTGGGGCTACATAGTTTGTTGTACGGTTGTATGCTCTTCCTAGCAACCCCCCATTTCCTTTCCTTTTTATTTTTCGTTGCTGCTCATTTTTTTCCTATTTTTTTCATTTGTTTTCTAAATGTTGTTCGCTGCTACTCATTCTCTCTTCATCATCTCATTCGAATCCTCAAATTAATTGTTTGTCTTTATTTTTCCATTTTACCGAAATTAATTGAATCAGCTAATTCTGCCAAGAATTATGATGTTCTGATCGAAGTGGCTGAATTGACTGATTCTGCCGATTTATGAAAAAATAAAACAAAATATTTTCATCATCGAAATAAAGACAAAATTACATGAAAAATTAGCTTGAATTAGGGCTGGGCATGGGCCGGGTCGGGGCGGGTAATGCAAAATAAAATGGAACCGCCAGTTCCATTATACGGTCCAGTTCGGGTATTGCAATTTTCATAATAGGAACCGGACCTTACCCTGCCCGTTTTAAACGGGTCGGTCCGGATCAGGTTTTTCGGTTCCTATTTCCATGTCTTAAAAATAGTAAAAACTTACAAAGTTTCAAAAATCAATAATCAATTATTAATACTCTGTATAGTACATTGACAAGTTTCAAAATAACAACATACTGATGCACATCTAACACAAGTGACAAGTTCAATACTCCATAACTTCATATATCTAAATTCCAAACAATTAAAGAAGTTCCAAAAATCAGCAACATAGTCACTCTTAAGTTCCCAAATGACTACACCAAACAACATAGTAAAGTGTAAACCTTCAACTCTTCAAGTCCGAAAAGACTACACCAAAATAACAACATAATTTACCTTCAAGTCCAAAATGACAATACTAAAATAACAACATAACAACTCATATTCATTAGTAGCTTAAAAGAACTCCAAAACTAAAATATAGAGAATTTGAGATACATCATAGGGCTAAGTAATCTAAGTTGGCAAAGGCCTAAGTATTAAAAAATTACTATGCAATATATATAACGGGGCGGGACAAGTACCCGTTAATTTTTTATTTTGGAACCGGCCCGGGTCTTTAAAAAAAATTACCCGGCCCTACCCGGACCGTTTTCTTGCAACAAAAAATGGAACCGGCCCGTTTTGGACCCGAACCGCCATTACCCGGACCGCGGTTCCAAGACCCGTTTGCCCACCCCTAGCTTGAATGGTTCTCTACTGTAACTTTAGCCAATACAGCATAAAAAGTAACTCAAATGTTACTTTTCTTATTACTACCTCCTTCCCGTTGAAAGGTTCCCATGATAAAACGGCACAATTATTTAGACAATAATCAAAGAGGTAGTACGTGTATATTTTGAGAAGTAATTTTAATAGGTATATGATATAATGAGGTATCAATCATCATTTACCACAGTGCCGCAAAGGTTCCCACCTACTGTGTTCAACACTAACCCCATTATATTATATACCTACGGTGTTGAATATAATGAGGTATATAATATAATGGGGTTAGTGTTGAACACAGTTAATAAGTATCTAAAGAGAAATTATACATTTTCTTGTACCTCCAAAACCTAAAGTCATACGCACGGGACAAAGCTCTCTTGGAGAGATCTTTACTCTCCCAAGCGGCTTTGACGCCGCGTAGGATTTTCCTTCCGTCAATTGTTGTGCGGCTCTTCTTCTCTAGGCTTCTAGAATGTTTTTTAGTTTAAATTATTGGTTCTGATTTGGGGATTTAGAGGACTTTCAGATTATCCATTGGATCTCGAAGTAGTGACAAGATTTCGGCTTTGTTTGGCAATCGGTTGATAGTTGTTAACTGGTTATGATAGTTATTTGGCAACGGCTGATTGTGTTAGCTGTTTTGGTTGGTTGGTTATGTTAGCTGGTTGTCATTAATTGTTTGATAAATTAGTTGTTTAAAAATAGCCGTTAGAATGTAAAAATACCTAGCTAATACTTCGTATTTTATAAACACTTATAATTCCGTGTTGTTATAACACTTAACAAATTTAGATAAATAATTTATCACTTTTGAAAACTTTTTTATTGTTTAGTTTAAATAATTTTAGTTGTTTTTCTAATGTGCAAAACTTTCTCTAATTTAGCAAGATAAAGTACAAACGAAGAAGAAAACATGGAAAAAAATCTTCCAAGTAAACTGAAAATATGAAGAAAGAGAATGACGTACAACGTAGATGGTGTTGTAAATTCGTGAGAATGACAAGTGTGAATTGTTCATCCTTATCATCAGGACACTAATCCAATTCTAATCCTTGTAATAGACATATGGTTAGGTGTAATGTTGCCAGCAAATTATGTTGAATCATTCTTTGATGATTCATCTCCTAGCTAGTCATGGACCCGGGCCGGGCCGGTTCCGGGCCGGGCCCGGCCGGGCTTTTTTTTTGGGAAGGAAGGCCCGGGACCGGCCCGGGTAGCCACCGGGTCCGGTCCGGGTCCGGGCCGGGCCGGGCCGGGCCTCCGGTTCGGTTATAATTTTTTTTTTTTTTTTTTGCTTTCCTAACCCCCCCACTCACCCCCACACCCCCCCAAACCCCCAAACCCCTCCTAACCATCAAGCCCAACTTGGCTAACCCCAAAAAAAGAAAAAAAAATTAAAAAAAAAATCAATTCGGCCCGGGCCCGGGCCCGACCCGGCCGGGCCGGTTCGCCAAATTCAAGGCCCGAGCCCGGACCCGGCCACCCCACCGGGCCTAGGCCCGACCCGGACCCGAGAACCGGGCCGGTTCCGGGCTCGCACAGTGGCGGGCCGGGCCGGTCCCGGGCCGGGCGGCCCGAACCGGGTCCATGCCTACTCCTAGCCAACTAGTATAAATAGTATGTTCAATCCTTTGTAAATTTAATTCAGAAAACTCAAAAATTTCAGAGATTAAGAAGAAGTTATTTAGATGTTATTAATAATATATCTATTTCTTTAATCTATTCTGCATCTTCTTCATTTCACAACACATTATCAACACGAATCTGCTCAAAAGTCTTCAAGAAATCATCCTCCTGCAAGTAAGAGCATCATTACTCAGTATTAATTATTTACATGATTGTTCTCAAGTCATTAAAAATACTTTTTAGAATATATATAATACGTAGTACTAAGTAAGTATTCTATTTGGTTTCCAAAAATAAAACATACATACTTTCTTTTATAATAAAATGAATAGAACTATAGAAGTTTACCTCCTTTAAGTGTTCTCCAAACTTGATAAGCTCTCCGTAAAACAAAAGCATAAGCAAAGAAAAATGAATACTGCTAGACAATATACCTCCTTTAAGCTAAGTGTCCATTTTTTTCTTGATTCTTATGCCAAATGTACTTTTGAAGATTGATTCCAGAAAAAATCTTTCACAGATAATAGGTAGGAAGATCATACAAAAAAGAAAGAAGGCAAGCGAACAAGCAACGGACTAAGCGCGCTAGCGACTCAAGCCCTCTCCTTTCGGTCGAGTCAAGCGCTAACTAGAAAGTGCTTCGAAAGGCGCCGGCTACTGACAGCACAGCTAGGTTTACCAAGCGTCCAAGCATGCAAGAACTTCATTGTCTTATAGTGAAGGTGAACTGAACACTTTCCCTAGAAAATTAGTTATTTGGATACATCGGAAAGGACCTCTAATAGCAAATTACAGCTCACCAAGGAGTTGTTTATGCAAACGGCATATCAAGAGAAAATAAATTATCTAGTCTGGAAATTGCATAGAAAATATGTCTCATGATGTCTGCCTAAAGACCTCCATAAGCTTGCTAGAGAAGTATGACTGCAAAATGGTTACAGCTCTTCTTTAAAATCAAAGCACATAAAATTCTGATTCGAAAAATGATCATCAACTAGAACTTGCGATTCAAGTAATTATTCTCCTCTAAGATATATCTCTAATATGAAGTAGATATTTTAACCAATAACCGTTATTAAAAAAAGAAAAAAAAAATAAACATCCACATCACAAACACTCTATTTCTATCTCCCATAGGCACACCTAAACAAAGAACCCAGTACACACATGTCTAACATAGAAGTATAGAACCGACAGACAATATGTTCCATCTCATAGGCACACACCAGCACATAGACATCTAACATAAAACTCAAAGATAATACTCCGTATATGTATGGATCGCAGAACAGTTTACTCAAAACACTATTACACCATTACTCAAAGTTCAACATTCATAATACTTGAGTACCTTACGTATTGCTTTTAAACTGTACTAAAATTGTTTAAATACAGTGCATTCAAAATACTCCTATATTGCATCGTATCTTTTACTTTATGGATCGTAGTATTACTTTATGATTTTGCATTCAAAATATAATGCATGCTAACACCTTACGTATCTTTTAAACTGTATTAAAATTGCTACTCACAACTCTCACATTATTATGCTAGAAGTAGAACTTAGTTTGGCTGATGTTTCAGCCATTTGAAAGATAGAGAGCTCCACACCATCTTCAACAATGAATAGCTGAACTAGGCTCTTTCCAGGAGTAGGCTTAGGTGATGGTAGTGGTTGGTCTGATGAGATGAACATGTGGATGTTCAGAAGTTGGGACTTGGGAGTGAGATATGTGGAGTACAAATTACAAGAGTAGTTGTACTCTTCATATTTGAACCAAAGCCCAAGAAATTATTTGTACCAAATAAAAACCATACGTTGAAACATTAAGGGGGGTGTTTGGATCTGATTCTCAAAACTGATTCTGCTCCTTCAGGGAGCAGAAGCAGAAGCTGGAATGTTTGGGTGAAATTCCAGAAGCACTTCTGGAGCTCTAATTTACTCTCAGAATCAGTTTTTTAGAAGCTGGAAGGTACCAGCTTCTGAAAACTGATTCTGATTCTGCTTCTGCTTTTAAAAAAGAAGCAGAAACAGAATGAGTTCCAAACACCCCTAAATTCACCAAATAAAACATTAAAAACCCCATGTGGGAATGAGAGAAAACATTATTTCCACAGAATGTTACCAGCAGCAATTTGATCCATTTAATAACACCCCGGAATAGTGACATACTCCATGAACCCTGGGTCGTTACACAGTGCCATTAAAGTCTTGGGAAGAATGCAGAGCTCTATATCCACACTCCCTTCTTCCGGTCCAGCCAAAAGCGTCACTCTCCCGTCCGACTTATGCCCCATTCCGCTCCTCACCGCAACCGGTTTCCCCCACCCGAAATCCGCTCCGTACATGTCAAACCGGGGAGAGCTGCTTATGACCAGCTTATTTCTAGCCAAGTAAAGCTTCTTCTCGCTGAGAAACGCCGGCGATCTCACCCACCTCAAATACTCATTCATCACTTCTTCCCGACATTGCTTCTCCACTGTTTCCTTCAGCTTCAGAGCTGCCCAGCCCACTCCTTTCTCCATGAGCTCCCCTGCTTTCGCCGACACCATTTTTAGGTAAATCGCATTTCCCCAGTACCCTTCCGGCAGTGGGACCCTCGACCGGGTTCCGATGGTAATGGAGAGCTGAACCTCTTCGTTCCCGTCGAGTTCCCGTGCACGGGTGACCGATACCCATATGTGGGCCATGTATGCCTGCAGGGAGGAGACGGAGTTGTTGTTTGGCATTCCCAATTCAGAGTTCACCTTTTGTTTGAGCTTGTCTATGGCTTCTCTGCTCAACCGGAATACCCGCTCTGCATATGCCGGCGGAGTTTTCATACAGCCAAGAGCTAGTCTTTCTTTGTTGAGAGCTATAGGGAGACGAACCGGGCGGGTGGTGTTTTCCGGGAACCAGCGGTCCAGGATGGGAGGTTCCGAGATTTGAGGGCAACCGCGAGATAGCTCCGCCCAAGAACGGAAGAAGTTCCAGAAGGATGCGCCGTCGCCGACGGCGTGGTTCAAAGAGCAGCCGATGAAGTAGCCGTCGAGAAGCTCCGTGACTTGCACTCCCAACAGCGGCTTGCAGATCCCGTCGCAGTTGCGGTTTCCGTTGAGGGGAAAGAAAGATCGGATTGTATTTGCAGCGCCGTCGTTGGACGGATCAAGAATGGCCGCGACGGTGACGCCGGCGGCCTTGGCTTCTACGAACTCGACACCGGCATTATTGCAGTCTGTAAAAACGGTAGAGGTGTTATTCTCCTCATCCTCCTCGTCCGTGGCAAAACGGCCGGCAAGAGGAGTAAAGAAATCGAGGGCGGCGGAAAGAGAGGTTTTCAGGCGATCAATTAGTGTGGAGTGGATGAAGAGGTTCTGTTCCTGTTGAGGGGTTGGTTTGGGGAAGAGGAGCCCTTTCTGGATGCAGCCAATTAGGAGGAGTTGCAGATCCCACGGCGTCAACTCGATTCTTGACCTTCCTGCCGTTGGTGCTCCGGCAGCTCCAACTAAGCATGTTGATACGATTTCAACCGCTGCCATTTGTAATAATTGAAAGATCTCTGTTTTGGTATTGTTTCTTTCTTGATTTGTAGTCCACTCCTAACCAGTCTCTTTGTTGAGTTGGAGTTTGATTTACTGAAACGGACTAGTCTCCGGCTCTCCGCAGACACCACTAGTGCTGGTAGAGTGGTAGGCGCACCTTTTTCAAAACAAAAAAAACTCTTTGTGACCATTTTTACCCTATTATTGGACACATGTGCTGATAGGCCCTGTTTCAAATGGAATATATTTCAAATTTTGAGTACCCCAATTTGTACTCCCAATCTGTACACCGTCTGTGTACACAGACATTTGGACAGAAAGTCTTGTCCTCTTTCAAACGAATTGCATGTGTACTCAAGCAATTCAGGGGTGGGTACAAAATGAGATACATTTTGGGGTATCTATAGAATTTTTGTCAAATTTTTACTACGTATTCTGTGTATGATTCCCCTTATCACCACCATCAAGGGATCAACGTAAAGATTTCTCTCCACAAAAAATGCAAAGATTTCTCAGTTTATTAAGATAGATGAGATTATGATTAGTGAAAGAATATATAAAGTATTTAAAGTGTGATAGAAACTTAGGATGATAGATATAATAGTAAATAGTGTATTATTGTCAAAATTACTGACTGTATGATGAAGATTTTTAGAAATCGGAAAATTACGAAACTACGATTGAAAAAAAGAAAAGTGAGAAGTATTTTATATTACGAAGATGGTACTTCCTCTCTTCGGATTTCCACTTCCCGTATTGGAGTGTCCTCTTCACACTTCATTTTAGGAAATACATTACTCTCTTTAGTTTCATTTTTATCCAAAAAAAATTATCAACTCATTACAGTCAAGTCTCACAAAACCTTCTTCCCATACCTATCTCAATTTAATCACTTTTACTTTATATGTTTACCTTTTCTAAATCCCCTGCTTCCTCTTTTTCTTTAACCTGAATTCCATTATTTAACTACATGTCTAAATAATCATGCAATTTATCCACGAGAACCTTCCAACAAAAAAGAGGGAATACGAAGTATCTTCCATTCATTCGTATTGATTTTTTAATGGACCTCCTTGTATTACTTTTTTAAAAATGGAAATAGATTTTAATCTTTCCTTATATTTTGGGTAACATTGATTCTAAAAAACAACGTAAATATCTTTGAAATTACTCAATTTCCTAATATAATCAGGGTTACCCATTCTAACTACAATTAAACAACTAGTATATAAATATTTGTAACACATTATACAGCTCTTGTAATTTTTTACAAATCTTCTTATACAATTGAGAATGAACTTCAAAATTATCTAAAAAATAGTACTCTTGATTTTCATACTTATGAGGTATTTATTTATCTTAATTGAAATTAGCCACTCAGCCCCACTATTTGTATCTCAATTCTTCTATTTGATGTGTTTCTTTAAGTTTCTCACATACAATATTTGATAACATTTTGATGGTCATATTAATACTTTTCATACATCTCTATATTGAATATTGTCTTTATTCTGTTATCTTCTAACTATGATTGAAACTAATTAGAATGTTTTTAATTGAGCTGTTTTAGACCCCAGGTCAGGTCAGACCAAATCTTGATAGTTGTATAACACACACGAAATCTTGCACCATAGTTTGAATGGATATTTTTGCAGGTCCCTACCAACCTCACCAAATTCGTGAAACTACTAGTTTTGACGAACCAGTTGGGTGAAAGCGAGATCACTTTTGAAAACGAAGATAAGAGTAATGAAATGGTCCTAATTCATGAATTTGTGGGTTTCACGAAAATGGGAGGTTTCACGAAAATGAGAGGTTTCACAAAAGACTTCAAAGTTTCCTGAAAATCCCCCAATTTACGATTTTTGGAAGTTTTACGAAAACAAGCCATGTTTCACGAATCTCGGGAGTTTCACGAAAACTTTCAGGTCTACTAATTTGTTCATAACTTCTTGTTGGCTGGTCCAAATCCAAATTCGACTCAACGATAGGTCGGTAGCTACAAATCTTAAAAAATACATCATGTCCAAATAATTAACAGAAAAAGATATCAATCATACACGGGACTGGTAAGTATATTTTGAGCAACTTTGAAAAACATGTGCCAGGTATAAAAAATTGAATATAAATATATTTTGCTTGTAGTTAATGTAACTCATATTATTTTCTTTTATCAAAAAATGATTTATGCAGGATGATACTTAGTGTGCATCGACATTATTTTTCATGATGATAGCTCAACTTGTGTCGAAGAAGAATTGATTTGTGAACCTCCAATTGTTGAAGAAGCACAACCATTCATTCACATCACATGATTTTTCAGAAGACTTTCAAACTTGCAAAACTTGAACGGATCATGAGTATATGATTAACTAGACTAGAGCAGAGGCACATAAGAGAAACATGGTATCAACTATTTCCTTCTCGTGTGTGAAATATTCGGGAAGTATCGAGCTGCAAAAATAGTCCATACACAAAAGGTGCAACATGTGACACCGTCTCCCGGATGTAACTTTTTCATTAAACAAAAATTTCAAGAATACAATGAATAAGATATTGGTAAATTATCCTAACTATTAATTTTAGCAATATTAAATTAAATTTGTGAAACCCACGTAGGGGCGAGGACTAATTAGTGTATTTCAGAATAGCACACTATATTTATTTGAGACAAGATAATAGTTTTATGTCGGGGAATTTATTTATTTGAGACCAAGGTTGTGTCCTTGAATTAAAATAGAAAGAATTGGAAGGTTGGGCAAATAAGGGAGCAAGGGACACAAAGCCCATTTAATAGACCTATTAAAAGCTAAAAAGTTTTTCTTTTTTCATTTTTTTATCTATATATTTTTTTATCTATATTTTTTTAGACAATAAACATATATATATATATATATATATATATATATATATATATATATATATATATATATATATATATATGACCTAGGCACATCAGTCTGCATATCCATTCCAAACCTCTATTTTTTATCGTTCAAGAAGGAAAGGACCAAGAAGTGGAAGCTTGTCCTGGGAGAATGATTCATCACAACCACGGAGTCCAATGCATGAATGGATGATTTTAGGGGAATTATGAGTTTGCACCCCACTTTTTGGTTGATATTGGACTTTGCACCCCATTTTCAAAACTTTTAGACTTTGCACCATATCTACAACATTTTGTGAAGAACATTTCGTCAATGGGGTGCAAAGGCAAAGACATTTTAGGGAAAATAGGGTGCAAAGTTTAAGAGTTTTGAAAATGGGGTGCAAAGTCCAATATCACCTAAAAAGCGGGATGAAAAGTCCAATATCCCATGATTTTAAGGTGTTAAAATGTTCCCTAGATTCTTGTTACTGAATATAATAATTTGTATTGGTGTGATTGGGTCCAAGTTCTGGTTGTTGGCAAAAGTAGGAGAACGACGAAGACGAGTTTTCACAAAACTTACCCCAATTCGCAAACCAGCCTCGTGTAAGATTCATATCTTTTTTCTTTTCATTATTTGAACATGATGTATTTTTTAAGATTTGTAGCTACCGACCTATCGTTGAGTCGAATCTGCAGCACTTTGAATCGTTGAATTTTGACCAGCCAACAAGAAGTTATGAACAAATTAGTAGACTTGAAAGTTTTCGTGAAACTCCCGAGATTCGTGAAACATGGCTTGTTTTCGTAAAACTTCCAAAAATCGTAAAATGGGGGATTTTCAGGAAACTTTGAAGTTTTTTGTGAAACCTCTCATTTTCTTGAAACTTCCCATTTTCGTGAAACTCACCAAATTCGTGAATTAGGACCATTTCATCACTCTTATCTTCGTTTTCAAAAGTGATCTCGCTTTCACCCAACTGGCTCGTCAAAACTAGTAGTTTCAAGAATTTGGTGAGGTTCATGAAAATGGGAATTTTCACGAAAATTGGAGGTTTCATCATCATCTAATTCATCAACAAATCATGTCAACAGTTCCATAGATGCTAATTGATGTCCCATGTTGCTCTATGATTTGCAAATCGATGCCCACAACCCTATTGAGATCAACGTATTGAGTTGGGATCATCACACAATGATGCTCTGTTTTTATTTTACTTTGATTGATCGATTGATGAAGCGGTTGTTGTTTATAATCAATAAAATGATGTCGTTCTGGGATCGTCACACCATGCGCACGGTGGGCTAATCCCATGATATAATTTCCCATAAAAATAAAACAAATTTTATGGTATCTTTAAGATACCATATCTTTTTCCTATGGACCAATGAAAATATCGCATTGTATAACTTCAAAATAAATAAATAGTGAAAAAATGGTTGGTATCAATCAAATTATTAATATGTATGATATTCTGATTTTTTATGAATACGGTACTACTAATTACCAAGAAATAAAAGCAAAATGAGAAAAAACTAAAAAAGTAGAATTTCATGTATAGGATGTTAGGTGCTTCTCATCGTGACTCACAACAACAAACTCCAGGAAAACTTTCGCGTATCATTTGGAGGAGTCCTCTCATTTGGAGAATGGGTGTTCTTATTATGTTGTACTATATCTCTACAAGTCCATTTGGTAACACTCAAATCGATTGAATTAGTCAATTCTGTTGAAGTTTATGAAGTTCTGACTAAAGTGGCTGGATTGACCGACTCTGTGGATTTATGAAAAAAATTATATGTAAATATTTTATTAATAACATAAAAAATTAAATGAGAAAACAACTAAAATGATCCTACAGTACCTTCAGCAAATAAAGTTAGAAAAGTAACTCATACTTTACTTTTTTTTTTATTAAATAACCAAACGCTCGAAATCAAAAGTTGCATGTTTGGTGAAAAAGTTGGTTGATAAGCATAATAAGCCAAAAAACAGTGTCACCAAAGAGGCTCTACACGTATTTCATTTTCTAACCCATAAAATTAAATTTTAAATTTTTTATTGGGAAAATCTCTAAAGTAGGAGTAAAAATATTTGAGAATTCCAAAATATTTTTTATTCTCAAAATAGGAGTAATTATTATTTTCAAGCTTGGAAAATATTGTCATGTTTAAAGTCTGGTATTATCAAAATATGACAACAGTAACTCATATTTTGGAAATAAAAACATAATAGCTCTATCTTGAAATATACAAACATTTTTTTACAAACATTTAGTCTATTTCACATAATTCTCCTTTTTTATTTTAATGAGTCAAACTCTTACCCAATAGCATCTTCAATGCTACAATATATACGGTGCACATGTGGCATAGAGTAGCAAATAAATTATCTCTCTTCTTATTTAAATGATTTTATACCAGTTTGATAAGTTTTTCTCCACAGTATTAAGAAAACTGTGTAGATGTTGACATTGTGGTTGACAAAAATGTTTACCAAACTTGTATGAAATCATTTAAATAAGAAGAGTGACAATTTATTTGTTAATATTTATGTAACTATCTCTCATAACCGTACACATTATAGTATTTGGGATGCTAGAATGTTTTCAAAAGTGATTTCTTACTAGCACGAGAGTTCACGATCGCTGCCGGCGTGGACTATAAATGAAGCAAGGAACAACAGTTTTTGCAACATCAAACCCGAAACCTTTCATTTAATTAGAGCTGCCAATGCACCAACGGCGGAAAGATCCAAGAGTTGACACCATGGGACCTCCAACTCCTCCTCATTGGCACCATTCAGAAATGACTCCTCTTCCCCAAACCCACCCTACAACAAGAACAAAAGTGATATAGCCATTTCCTGAAACATCCAAGTTTTTTTGAAACCTCTCAATTTTGTGAAACTTCCCATTTTGGTATCAAGAATAATTATCTGGGCTAGCTTATTTTTCATTAAGTCTTTTGGGCCTTTTATATTTTCCATTGGACTTTAGTTATACTTTGTAAACAGGCATATATATCTTCTGATCCTTGTAAATTAGGTTAAGTTTTCTCATTCAAGTAATACTGAAAACACGCTCCTGAGCTCTGCGAAACTTTCAATCATCTTCTTCATTCAATAGATTTCTTCATTCGACAATTGTTATGGTATCAGATTAGGTTTTTCGATCCTATATCGAATCTATTTCTTCTACTTGATATCGATTTCTATAATCGATTCTCTCTTTACCTGAATCTACCGATACTTAACCCTAATTCTTTCGCAACAATCTGTTGCGATGAATCCAAATATCATATTTCCTTTAAACCCTACTGAAGATCCCACATCTCCATACTATCTGCATCCAAGTGATCATGCTGGTCTCCGAATCATATCTGAGACACTCACTGGAGAGAATTTCAATGCTTGGAAGAAATCTGTCACGATGGCATTCAGTGTGAAGAACAAGATGGCGTTCCTCGATGGTTCCATTTCTCAACCAAATCCCGATGATTCTGTTGCTTATTCAGTCTGGTATCGCATTAATGCTCTTATACTTTCTTGGCTGATTTATTCAATTGCTCCTGATATTCGTTCAACATTCCTTTACTTTACCTCTGCTAAAGACCTTTGGGACGAAATTCAACTTAGATATGGTAAAAGTGATGGTCCTAGAGTTTTTTATCTAGAAAAAACCCTAGGTAACATTTCTCAGGGTACTCAAACTGTTACTGCTTACTATAATGTGTTCAAAGGTCTGTGGGATGAATATGCTGGTTTTAAAACTCTTCCTCCTTGTTCTTGTGGTCTTTGCACATGTAAAATCTATGAAAAATATCAGTTGTTGTTGCAACGAGAATCTGTTCAGAAGTTTCTGGTTGGTCTGAATGACTCTTATTCACATTTAAGGGGTCAAATTCCTCCTCCTAGTCTCTCTGCTGTCTACTCTTTCTTTCTACAAGAAGAGTCTCAAAGAACACTTCAACACCCTCCTAATTCTGTTTCATTCCCTTCTGATAACTCAAACACTTATAATCATTCCACTGCTGATTCTGCTGCATTCTTAGTCAAGAATTCTAATTACAAAAAGAAATCCTCCATCATCTGCACTCATTGTGGCTATCAAGGACATTATGCTGACAAGTGTTTTCAAGTCATTGGTTATCCTCCCAACTGGAAAGGACCAAAAGGGCTCAGAACTGCTCCTGGCTTCAAACTGCCTTCTACCTCTGCAAAGAACACTCATGCTCATCTGGCCTCCACTTCTAATGAATCTCTTTCTACTGACTTGGACCTCTGTGATCCTACCCTATACAACAAATTTCTTGAGTTCATGAAAACTCAGAATGATAAATCTGCCTCTGCTAATGTTGTCATGGCTGTATCACCACATGGCAAATCTTCTGATGCTTCTCTTTTCCTAGGTAATCATTCAGCTTTCTTGTCTAATATTCAATCTTCTATTTGGATTCTTGACACTGGGGCTTCAGACCACATGACTCATGATTTCAAATTATATACTTCTTCACCCAAACCTGTTTCTATTAATATTCAATTACCTACTGGTTCTTTCATAACTGCTACTCATATAGGTGATATTAAAATTAATAATAATTTCACTCTTCACAATGTATTATATGTTCCCCAATTTAGTTTTAATCTTATTTCTATATCTAGCCTTGTTTCAAATGAAAATATTTCTGTTCACTTTACTTCTAACCATGCTACTTTGCAGGATCTGCTCACCAACCAAATGATTGGCTATGCTGATCTTCAAAGTGGTCTTTACCTCTATGATGCTTCTAAATCACTGCTTTCTACAAATCAATTGTCTGTTGCTAATGTTGCTAGTACTCAGTCTTTAGATAATAAATCTGATGTTTGGCACTATAGACTAGGTCATTTACCTTTTCACAGACTGAAATCTATTGTTGACTGTACTGTTTCTCATCATACTAATAAAATCTGTGATGTCTGTCATTTTGCTAAACAAAAACGTTTACCCTTTCCTGATAGCACTTCTTATGCCTCACATGCTTTTGATCTTGTTCATATGGATGTTTGGGGTCCTTTTAGGGTCCCATCTTATTCAAATTTTAAATATTTTTTAACCATTGTTGATGATCACACCAGATGTACTTGGGTTTTTATGATGAAAACAAAAACCGAAGTTAAATTTCACATGATGAATTTTTACAATCTCATTAATACTCAATTTCATACCAAAATAAAAACTATTAGAACTGATAATGGTACTGAATTCATATTTCCAAATTTTTATAACACTTATGGCATTATTCATCAACTTTCTTGTGTTGAAACTCCTCAACAAAATGCTAGGGTTGAAAGAAAACATCAACATATTCTTCAGATTGCTAGATCTCTTTTATTTCAATCCTGTTTACCCCTTATTTTTTGGTCTGATTGTGTTCTCACTGCTGTACATATCATAAATAGACTTCCTACTGCTATTCTTAATAATAAATCTCCTTATGAGCTCTTATATAATAAAGTTCCTGATTATTCTCATTTAAGAGTTTTTGGATCTCTTGTTTATGCTTCTACCTTAACTGCTGATAGATCTAAATTTGATAAAAGAGCTGTCAAATGTGTTTTTGTTGGTTATCCTTTAGGTTCTAAAGGATATAAATTGTATGATATTGCTAATCATAAATTTCTTATCTCCAGAAATGTTAAATTCTATGAAATGATTTTTCCTTACAAAAATGATTCTGATTTATCTAACCCAACTCAATCTGATTCTACACCTCTCAGTTCTTCTACTAATAATGATTTTCCCTATGACTACAACATACATTCAAATATTTTTACAAATCACTTGCAAAACCAAATCAATGATGAAATAAATATTATTAATATGCATGATTCTGTTAATACAAATGATTCTAGCACTTTACAGACTACTACTTCTATTCCAGAAGATCAATCTAATAGGAAATCAACAAGAGTAAGATCTTTACCCATTCATCTTCAAGACTATAATTATGAATTACCTACCTCTATCACTGCAGGTATTTCTCCTTCATCCTCTTGTAATTTTGTTAAATATCCTATTCAAAATCATATAAACTACAATAGATTAAGTACTTCTCACTCTTGTTTTATTGCTGCTCTTTCCAAAATCATTGAACCTAAAACCTATTGTGACACCCCGAAAAATTGCAATAAAGTAAATAAATTTTATTAGTGAGATAAAATGTTACGAAAGTCACATTTTAATAATTAAGTGATTCAGATAATATTTTAACATCGGTGACAACTTTAATCAGATAAAAATGTTTCAATAATAAAAGTGACATTTTTATAATAATTATGTTGATCAAATAGGATCTTGACTTAAATAACAAAAGTAACATTTTTGTAACAACTGATAATTACACATGGAGTATACATAATATATATAAGTGACATTATTTTAAAAAGAGGGGCCGATAGGATTCATGTTCACAACTAAACTATAAGGGGTATAAAATACATATGGCATATACTTCGTATGTTCTTATTATACAAGAGTAGTTGTACGCATAAAAGTAAAGAAAAAAAAACCCCATACAGTGAAGCTAGCTAATAAATTATGCTATGTACTGACTCGCACATGGGAAAGAGTTAATCGAACTTGCTCTTAGACAAATATAGAGAATGATACAAGGTGCCTATGTGAATCCCATGTGACACACATGACATTCCCATGTATGTATGTTCGGACACCACATGTACATGCCTCCCATATGCATTTGTCTTCCCATTCTCAATCATAATCCACCCCGAATAAAACCAATGCGCTGGGACATAAGGCTGGCTATATAGTACTTGTGTTTTCATACGTCCGCCCGCCACATATATATACATGTATATATCGTTACATTTCCTACGACATGTCGACTTGCGAAATCATACTCCGTATACTTCACCTCATCAGCGATGCCCAAGACAGAGACGGACGAACTCAACCCTTACTGCAGCCATTAATTCTCTATGCGTCCAGCGTCATATATATTGCCGGAAATATCCTTCACCGGAGAAGCGAGGTTGACTGACCAACCTGACCAGTACCGCCGCTGAGGCGCCGTACAGAAGGAGAGTCCGTAATCCGTATCTACGTCGACAGGGAGTAACAGAGCAGACCGCCGGCGGTAACGCTGGGAATTCCGACCGGAGGAGGAAACCAGTCCATCGGACCACCTGTGCCGCCAGACCATCGTTCAAGTATTCCACCGCTGGTATATATACCCCACTGCCAATGCCCGAAGGAAAGAACATCGACGAAGGAGAGACCATTTCCGACGTCGAGAGGAGGCTGCCGGAGACGTTCTACATCGCTGCAACTTCTGCTGCGAGGAAGAGGGGAGCTACAGCAGTTCGCTCTTGTTGATCCAGGAGTATTATCTCTGGAAGGAGAAGTGCTGCCGGAAGCCGCCGCATAGAGAGCCGGTCACCTCTTCTTTTTCCGCCAAAGAAGGACGACATACAGTGAGTACATACTCTCTCCTTCCTTGCTACAAACGTACTGTTTTAGCATGTAATCCGACCCAGCTTGTTTTACAACTTATGAACAGACCGGTTAAAGTAAAACGTAACCAACTGACTGATATTCCAGTTTGGATTAATGAATTATTATTTGAATAAGGGTGACTAATCAGGAAGAATGAATTTAAACCATAGATTGGTTAATAATTCGCAATAAACCAGAATAGTTATTAATTAAAGAACTTTAATATTCTAGAAGGTGAATTTGGAGACGGTCAAGATAGAAGCTTCGGTTAGGATTTACCGCAATTTGAGGTAAGTACTATGTCAACCAAGTTTCATGCTTTTCCCATATAAATTTATTTGTGACTAGTTATTTGAGATCATTTGAGTATATGATAGTTAATGAGATTTTACGTATCAATTGTGATTGTGAATTATATATATATATGAGATTTGAGTATTTTTATATTTGGTGATATTTTGAGCATTTGAATTTACATATGAATTATTATTGGATGGAGATTTGAGATTTGAGCCATTTATGAATTATCCTATATTTTGGACTATTTATGGTATATTTGAGTATGATGAGTTAATAATTTTATTGTGAATAATTTTGTGGAATTTGGATTTCATATCCATTTTGATTTATGTTATGATACTTGAAATTGAGATTGGATTATGATTTTTGTGAGTACTCGGAGAAATGTGGATTTGGTGAGTGGTAATGATTATAAGTCTAATTCCACCAGGGATCTCCCAAAAGTGGAGCATCCCAGCTTAATTGTAGTAGTCGGTAGAAAAATCCTGACTACTCGGACTTTTTACTACTCGGAGAGCTTGGAATCTCTTTTAGGGGGTGTGCACACTTAAGGTAGGAGTTCGGCTTCCATTGGATTTCGTTGAGTTTGAATGATTGAACTTGAGATGATTTGGATTATTTGGTTGGACTTGATGGAGATGAATTGAACTACATTATATTGGATTATTTGAGTGGGTTATATTTGTTTGGATTGGATTGAATTTGATGTGGTTGAGATTATTAAATTATCGGTAGATTTTCAAAGTAATACTTTTTTTTGATTTGATATGGTTATGTTGAATATTGATTATGAGTATTTGGAAGTATTTTGAGATGAATATTTCGGCTTTACATATGAATTATGTTTTGGAATATAATTACGAGGATTTTGGTGGTTTATGTATATTGACCTTTTAGAATTATTATGATTTGGAAATATGTACCTATATTTGGAATATTGTCACTTTACATGTGATTTTGTGATGAGAAGTTTGTATAAAATGTTTTAGGAGGTTTCCTCCCAAATGTTTTCACAAAATGATATATATGTATCAAACATGATTATTTTACAGGGTTGGGTGGGCCTTACTTAGCATTTCCAGCTAATTTTTGTTTCTTTGTGTTTTTCTTTCTGTACTTTATTTGTGCAGGAATTGAGGATCATGTTGAAGTTGATTTCGAGAGCTTCCGCTAGAACACATAGACTAAAGTGATTTGAGTAATTTATTTTAGTCTTAATTTTAAAGAATTGTAGTTGAACAATTAATTAACTAAAATTTTAATTGTTGGTGGTGGATAGCCTGTGCACTCGGTTATGTGAGAACCGAGTGTGGCGGTAACGCCCCAGTTTCCCTTTGAATTTTCCGCTGCATAATTCTGATAAATCATTATTTAAATGTATTTTTGGGTGGGAAATTTGGGGGTGTTACAAGTTGGTATCAGAGCCTTTGATTTTTTTTAATGGGGTTTCCAAATAAAAGTATTTCCTAAAGTGACTATGGTTTTAAAAAAAAAAGTTTCGAACATTTTTTTTGACCTTCTAAACCTTCAATGAGTAATACCAACAAGTTGGTATTAGAGAAATGTTTTTCTGAGGAATCTTTTTCAAAGTGTTCTTCCAAAGAGTTTTCTAAAAAAAAAATTATTTCAAAAGATTTCTAATGTTTTGTAAATTTTCTTAAGTGATACCAACAAGTTGGTATCAGAGACTTACGGTTTTCGAATGGGGATTTTTGCATAAAAGTTTTCCTTCAATGACTTCGGTTTTCAAAAAGGAGTTACTAAAGTTTTCTAAAATTTTGATTTTCAAAAAAAAAAAAAGTTTTCTAAGATTTTCTAAAACTCCAACTAGTGATATCGGCCAACAAGTTGGTATAAAGATTTTCTTTTCTAAAACATATAAAAAAAATTACAAGACGTTTTCTCAAATGTTAAAAAAAAAGAAGTTGAAACCCGTTTTTCTAAATGTGTTTTGAAGAAAAAAAATAAACATAAGAATAATAATTGGACTAAGAAATAATATATTTAGGATCGTGGTGAGAATGTGAGGTTTTGAATTTCTATTCTGGTGGAGTTTGTGGTTCTTTGAATTGTTTGAGTTATACTTATATGAGATATATCATTATTGATTCAGTTGAGAATGAGTTTGGACTTTTAGGGGAACTTACAAAATTATGTGAATAGTGAGTTATTAGGTAAGGTAGTATAATTGTGAATATCATTCGATATACTTCATGTCCTAAACATTATTCTTTCAAGTAGACAATGAAGGCAACAAGAAACAAAGTAGAAGACAATGTCGCCGCACCGACGAATGCGGAGTTGACTCAAAATATGGTTCAACTCATCCAGACTATCGGGAGTGTGTTAGTTCAGAACCAACACCAACAACGTCTCAAAAACCACAATGATTTAGCGAAACTTGTAGCGAAGTGCAATCCACCGTGTTATTTAGGCCAAGAAGATCCTCTCATCCTTGAGGATTGGATTCGCACTTTCGACAAACTTTTCGACACTATAAACTGCCCTGCAGATCAACGAATTAATACGGCTGCGTACTATCTACGTCAAGAAGCAGACAATTGGTGGGCCACGACTGCCCCAACGTTGCGTCAACAACCTGACTTTTCTTGGGAGACGTTCAAGGAGGCAATGCGAAAGAGATTCTACCCAGAGCACGTGAGAGCTGAGAAGTATGAAGAATTCTTACACCTAAAGCAAGTGGGTATGACTGTCCAAGAGTATCACGCTAAATTCTTGAATCTCGCACGATTTGCACCAACACTAGTTCCCGATGAAATCGAGAAAACAAATAAGTTTATACGCGGTCTGAACTTCGAGACGCAAAAAGCTCTTTGCGTTTCAGAATGCCAAACGTTGAACGATGCCTACAACAAAGCTGGCAAGCACTATCGAGTGCAACAACTCCAGAAAAAAACACTCAAGAGAGCGAGGAAGGGGACTGAAGGAGAAAGCAAACCAAGAGGCAAACAACGTGAGCTAAATCAACTAGGGCACACTCGGAACGGGAAGAAGAACAACAACCAAGGCCAAGCCCAGAAGCGTAAAAAGAAGAACTCAACTGAAGAGATGCACTTCTACTGCTCGAAGTGTGGAAAAGATCACCCCGGGAAATACTGTGACGGAACACTCGTACGATGTTTTCATTGTGACAAGCTTGGACATAGGGTGTTCGGGTGCCATTCAAGGAAGAAGGGAATCCCTCCAACTCGCGGACTCAATCATCATGAGAAGAGTGCAAGACACAATGGAAGAATCCGAAAATAGTAGGCAAAATCATATAAAATTTCTAATTTTCAATATTAATAAATCTGTTTGAGGATTGTGTATCATTTTGATCTTAAATGAATAATCTATTTTCTTAAGTAAGTTAAATGCTTCGGGAACGAAGCATTCTTTTAAGGAGGGTAGAATGTGACACTCCTAAATTTAATAAAAAGAATTTCATATTAACTAGCACGTGACACCTGCTAATTTTGTGGTGGATATTTTCTTAGCTTATGCTTCGGGACGAAGCATCTTTTAAGGATGGTAGAATGTGACACCCCGAAAAATTGCAATAAAGTAAATAAATTTTATTAGTGAGATAAAATGTTACGAAAGTCACATTTTAATAATTAAGTGATTCAGATAATATTTTAACATCGGTGACAACTTTAATCAGATAAAAATGTTTCAATAATAAAAGTGACATTTTTATAATAATTATGTTGATCAAATAGGATCTTGACTTAAATAACAAAAGTAACATTTTTGTAACAACTGATAATTACACATGGAGTATACATAATATATATAAGTGACATTATTTTAAAAAGAGGGGCCGATAGGATTCATGTTCACAACTAAACTATAAGGGGTATAAAATACATATGGCATATACTTCGTATGTTCTTATTATACAAGAGTAGTTGTACGCATAAAAGTAAAGAAAAAAAAACCCCATACAGTGAAGCTAGCTAATAAATTATGCTATGTACTGACTCGCACATGGGAAAGAGTTAATCGAACTTGCTCTTAGACAAATATAGAGAATGATACAAGGTGCCTATGTGAATCCCATGTGACACACATGACATTCCCATGTATGTATGTTCGGACACCACATGTACATGCCTCCCATATGCATTTGTCTTCCCATTCTCAATCATAATCCACCCCGAATAAAACCAATGCGCTGGGACATAAGGCTGGCTATATAGTACTTGTGTTTTCATACGTCCGCCCGCCACATATATATACATGTATATATCGTTACATTTCCTACGACATGTCGACTTGCGAAATCATACTCCGTATACTTCACCTCATCAGCGATGCCCAAGACAGAGACGGACGAACTCAACCCTTACTGCAGCCATTAATTCTCTATGCGTCCAGCGTCATATATATTGCCGGAAATATCCTTCACCGGAGAAGCGAGGTTGACTGACCAACCTGACCAGTACCGCCGCTGAGGCGCCGTACAGAAGGAGAGTCCGTAATCCGTATCTACGTCGACAGGGAGTAACAGAGCAGACCGCCGGCGGTAACGCTGGGAATTCCGACCGGAGGAGGAAACCAGTCCATCGGACCACCTGTGCCGCCAGACCATCGTTCAAGTATTCCACCGCTGGTATATATACCCCACTGCCAATGCCCGAAGGAAAGAACATCGACGAAGGAGAGACCATTTCCGACGTCGAGAGGAGGCTGCCGGAGACGTTCTACATCGCTGCAACTTCTGCTGCGAGGAAGAGGGGAGCTACAGCAGTTCGCTCTTGTTGATCCAGGAGTATTATCTCTGGAAGGAGAAGTGCTGCCGGAAGCCGCCGCATAGAGAGCCGGTCACCTCTTCTTTTTCCGCCAAAGAAGGACGACATACAGTGAGTACATACTCTCTCCTTCCTTGCTACAAACGTACTGTTTTAGCATGTAATCCGACCCAGCTTGTTTTACAACTTATGAACAGACCGGTTAAAGTAAAACGTAACCAACTGACTGATATTCCAGTTTGGATTAATGAATTATTATTTGAATAAGGGTGACTAATCAGGAAGAATGAATTTAAACCATAGATTGGTTAATAATTCGCAATAAACCAGAATAGTTATTAATTAAAGAACTTTAATATTCTAGAAGGTGAATTTGGAGACGGTCAAGATAGAAGCTTCGGTTAGGATTTACCGCAATTTGAGGTAAGTACTATGTCAACCAAGTTTCATGCTTTTCCCATATAAATTTATTTGTGACTAGTTATTTGAGATCATTTGAGTATATGATAGTTAATGAGATTTTACGTATCAATTGTGATTGTGAATTATATATATATATGAGATTTGAGTATTTTTATATTTGGTGATATTTTGAGCATTTGAATTTACATATGAATTATTATTGGATGGAGATTTGAGATTTGAGCCATTTATGAATTATCCTATATTTTGGACTATTTATGGTATATTTGAGTATGATGAGTTAATAATTTTATTGTGAATAATTTTGTGGAATTTGGATTTCATATCCATTTTGATTTATGTTATGATACTTGAAATTGAGATTGGATTATGATTTTTGTGAGTACTCGGAGAAATGTGGATTTGGTGAGTGGTAATGATTATAAGTCTAATTCCACCAGGGATCTCCCAAAAGTGGAGCATCCCAGCTTAATTGTAGTAGTCGGTAGAAAAATCCTGACTACTCGGACTTTTTACTACTCGGAGAGCTTGGAATCTCTTTTAGGGGGTGTGCACACTTAAGGTAGGAGTTCGGCTTCCATTGGATTTCGTTGAGTTTGAATGATTGAACTTGAGATGATTTGGATTATTTGGTTGGACTTGATGGAGATGAATTGAACTACATTATATTGGATTATTTGAGTGGGTTATATTTGTTTGGATTGGATTGAATTTGATGTGGTTGAGATTATTAAATTATCGGTAGATTTTCAAAGTAATACTTTTTTTTGATTTGATATGGTTATGTTGAATATTGATTATGAGTATTTGGAAGTATTTTGAGATGAATATTTCGGCTTTACATATGAATTATGTTTTGGAATATAATTACGAGGATTTTGGTGGTTTATGTATATTGACCTTTTAGAATTATTATGATTTGGAAATATGTACCTATATTTGGAATATTGTCACTTTACATGTGATTTTGTGATGAGAAGTTTGTATAAAATGTTTTAGGAGGTTTCCTCCCAAATGTTTTCACAAAATGATATATATGTATCAAACATGATTATTTTACAGGGTTGGGTGGGCCTTACTTAGCATTTCCAGCTAATTTTTGTTTCTTTGTGTTTTTCTTTCTGTACTTTATTTGTGCAGGAATTGAGGATCATGTTGAAGTTGATTTCGAGAGCTTCCGCTAGAACACATAGACTAAAGTGATTTGAGTAATTTATTTTAGTCTTAATTTTAAAGAATTGTAGTTGAACAATTAATTAACTAAAATTTTAATTGTTGGTGGTGGATAGCCTGTGCACTCGGTTATGTGAGAACCGAGTGTGGCGGTAACGCCCCAGTTTCCCTTTGAATTTTCCGCTGCATAATTCTGATAAATCATTATTTAAATGTATTTTTGGGTGGGAAATTTGGGGGTGTTACACCTATAAACAAGCTTCCAAATTTCCTGAATGGCAGAATGCCATGTCAACTGAAATACAGGCTCTTGAGAAAAATAATACCTGGATTTTAGTTGACCCTCCTGCTAATCATAATATCATAGGCTGTAAATGGGTTTTCAAAACCAAATTAAAATCTGATGGTTCTTTAGATAGATATAAAGCAAGATTAGTTGCTAAAGGCTATACTCAAGAAGAGGGCTTTGATTATTTTGACACCTTTTCCCCTGTTGTCAAAATAACTACTATAAGAATTATTTTAGCAATTGCTAGTGCTAAAAATTGGTTTTTACATCAGTTAGACATTAACAATGCTTTTTTACATGGTGATTTAAATGAGGACATCTTTATGCAGCCCCCTCCAGGGTATTTAGCTCCCAATGATAACAGAGTGTGTAAACTTATCAAAAGTCTGTATGGTCTAAAGCAGGCTTCTAGACAATGGTTCTGTAAGCTCTCTGACTCCTTAAAATTGATTGGTTACAAGCAATCTCAAGCAGATTTTTCATTATTTACCAAAACTGATAATACTTCTTTCACTGTTCTTCTTATTTATGTAGATGATATTATTCTTGCTGGTAATAGCATAGAAGAAATCACTGCAGTAAAAACTTTTTTACATAACAAATTTACCATTAAAGATATTGGAGAATTAAAATATATCTTGGGTATTGAGATTGCCAGATCTGATAAAGGTTTAAATCTTTGTCAGAGAAAGTATACACTTGACATTCTTAATGAATATGGTTACTTAAACTCTAAACCTTACACCACACCTATGGACTCCAAACTTAAGTTTTCCAAAAAAGATGGTACTATTTTAGATAATCCTAAAGCATATAGAACCTTAATTGGCAAACTGTTATATTTAACTGTTACAAGGCCTGACATTGCTTATAGTGTTCAGGTCCTTAGTCAATTTCTTTCTTCTCCTACTGACATTCACATGAGTGCAGCTCATAGAATTCTAAGGTATCTTAAGAATTCTCCAGGTAAAGGTCTTTTCTATCCATCTATTTCTGATTTTTGCATTCAAGGTTATACTGACTCTGACTGGGCTGCTTGTTTAGATACTAGAAGAAGTGTTTCTGGTTATGCATTTTATCTTGGTAATGCTTTAATATCATGGAAATCTAAAAAACAGCAAGTGGTAAGTAGGTCTTCAACTGAAGCTGAATATAGAGCTGCTGCTAATGCAGTTTGTGAAGCACAATGGTTATATTATATTCTTCATGATCTGCATATACATTTTACCTCACCTATTATTATATATACTGATAATAAATCTACTTATCATTTAGCTCATAATCCCATTCAACATCAAAGAACAAAACATATAGAATTAGACTGTCATTTGATTAGAGAAAAAATAAATTCTGGTTTAATATCTCTGGTCCATATTAAAAATAATTTTCAACTTGCAGATATCTATACTAAACCACTTGGGAATCCACTCTTCAACCAATTTGCAGCCAAGATGAACATGATGGACATCCATGCTCCTCTTGAGGGGGCGTATCAAGAATAATTATCTGGGCTAGCTTATTTTTCATTAAGTCTTTTGGGCCTTTTATATTTTCCATTGGACTTTAGTTATACTTTGTAAACAGGCATATATATCTTCTGATCCTTGTAAATTAGGTTAAGTTTTCTCATTCAAGTAATACTGAAAACACGCTCCTGAGCTCTGCGAAACTTTCAATCATCTTCTTCATTCAATAGATTTCTTCATTCGACAATTGTTATTTGGTGAAACTAACCAAATCCGTGAAACATCCCAAATTGGTGAAACTTAGTTTTGACCAATGTTCTAAAAGGCGCTAGGCGCTACTCGGGCGCCAGCCCAGCGCCTAGCGCCTGGTCGGCTAGGCGGGCGCCTAGTCGGGGATTAGTCGGAGACATAGAAATTGCATTTTTATCTATATTTTTGCATAAATATGATAAGTAATATTGTATTTTTGTGTGTATAAAGTACATATATACATATACGTTAATATGAATAATATTAACGTCAATATTACTAGACTATTGGGTGAAAGCGAGATATATCACTTTTGAAAGCAAAGATAAGAGCAATGAAATGGTCCTAAAATTACCATTAGAAAAATGTAGTTGTCAATATGTCCCGCCGACCAAAGAACCGCATGTCAATAAAGTTGTATCCCTATATCCCTAACTAGTAATTAGGTGTTGCAAATTCAAAATTAAAAGGAAATGGGAGAAGAAAAAGAAGCCACTTACTCATATTACGCTTAGAGTCAATAAAAAGATAAAATGCAATTGTTTTACCGTAGGATAGGTGCAAGGTGAGCATCCTGCTCCCATAGTTATAATGAAATGTAAACTGTGTGAATCAACATGTAACTTCAGGTTAATCAAGGTGTAAATTATACTCATTCAAATGTAAGTCGAACTGCAAATTGCTTTAATTCAAACGTAACTTGGGGATGTTAGGTGCTTCTCAAAAGTAGAATTTCAGGGATAAGATGTTAGGTGCTTCTCATTGTAATCTATGTTACAACAACAAACTCTAGAAAAACTTTGGAATATCATGTGGAGAATGGGAGTTCTTATTATGTTGTACTATCTACTACGAGCCTATTTGATAACACTCAAATCGACTAAATCAACTAATTCTGTTGAAATTGATGAAGTTTTGACTGAACTAGCTGAATTGACTGATTGTGCTAATTTATGAAAAAAATTATATGTAAATATAGTATTAATAAAATAAAAAAAATTACATGGGAAAATAACTAAAATGGTCTTCTACAATAACTTCTGCTAATAAAGCTAGAAAAGTAACTTTAACATTACTTTTTCTTATTACTCCCTTCGTCCCTTATAATTTTGCCAACTTGCCTTTTTTGGTTATCCCAAAAACTTTGTCACTTTCCTTTTTAATCAATCAATTTGTGGCTCCTGTTATTTTTCTGTCGTCTGCACAAATCTCTACCACACAATTTTTACTTTATTATTCTACGTGCTGGTCAAACTTGGCAATCCTTTTAGGGACGGATGGAGTATTACACAACTCAATGCTCGAAATTAAAAGTTGCGTGTTGGTGAAAAAGTTGTTTGATAAGCTTAATAATCCAAAAAACAGTGCCACCAAAGAAACTCTATCTCAAATATGATAATTATTATCAAGTTTGAAAAATATTGTCATGTTTAAAGTCTAGTACTCTGAAAACGTGACAATAGTAACTTCTATTTTGGAACTAAAAATATAAGATGACAACTCCGGTACCCATTTAAAAAATGGGGTACCGTACCTATCATGCATTTGATAGGTCCAAATCATTATATGCTTTTTAATTTAGATTTAAATAATTCAACTGCATCATTGATCCATTTGGATAAATGTACGGTACATTTGGGGTACCATAGAATCTACCAAAATATAATAGTTCTATCTTGAAACATACGAACGTCTATTTCACATAATTTTCCTTTTTTATTTTAATGAATCAAACACTACCCGAGAGACTCACTAGAAGTGTTTTCCTTGTGCAAAAGTGATTTTTCTTACATGCCACGAGAGCTCGCGATCGCTGCCGGCGTGGACTATAAATGATGCAAGGAACAACAATTTTTGCAACATCAAACCAGGAAATCTTTCATTTAGTGAAGAGATTACTAAAATGGCAGAGGTTGAAATCGTATCAACATGCTTAATTGGAGCTGCCTGTGCACCACCGGCGGAAAGGTCAAGAATTGAGTTGACCCCATGGGATCTGCAACTCCTCCTCATTGGCACCATCCAGAAAGGACTCCTCTTCCCAAAACCCACCATACAACAGGAACAAAACCTCTTCATCCACTCCACATTAATTGATCACCTGAAAATATCTCTTTCCACCACCCTCGATTTCTTTCCTCCGCTTGCCGGCCGTTTTGCTACGGACGAGGAGGATGAGAAGAATAACACCTCTACCGTTTTTGTTGACTGCAATAATGCAGGTGTCGAATTCGTAGAAGCTAAAGCCGCCGGCGTCACCGTCGCGGCCATTCTTGATCCGTCCAACGACGCCGCCGCAAAGACAATCCGATCTTTCTTTCCCCTTAACGGAATCCGGAACCTCGACGGGATCTCCAAGCCGCTGCTGGGTGTGCAAGTAACAGAGCTTCTCGACGGCTACTTCATCGGCTGCACTTTGAACCACGGCCTCGGCGACGGCGCTTCCTTCTGGAACTTCTTCCGATCCTGGTCGGAGCTATCACGCGGTTGCCCTCAAATCTCGGAACCTCCCATCCTGGACCGCTGGTTCCCGGAAAGCACTACCCGCCCCGTTCGTCTCCCTATAGCTCTCAACAAAGAAAGACTATCTCTTGGCGGTCTGAAAACTCCGCCGGCATACCCAGAGAGGGTATTCCGGCTAACCAGAGAAACCATAGCCAAGCTCAAAGGAAAAGCAAACTCCGAATTGGGAATTGAAAACAACAATTCCGTCTCCTCCCTGCAGGCATACATGGCCCACATATGGCTATCCGTCACTCGCGCACGGGAACTCGACGGGAACGAGGATGTTCAAATCTCCATTACCATCGGAACCCGATCGAGGGTCCCGCTGCCGAAAGGGTACTGGGGAAACGCGCTTTACGTAAAGATGGTGACCGCGAAAGCAGGGGAGCTGTTGGAGAAAGGATTGGGCTGGGCAGCTTTGAAGCTGAAGGAAACTGTGGAGAAACAGGGGCGCGAAGAAGTGATGAATGGGTATTTGAGCTGGGTGAGATCGCCGGCGTTTCTCGGCGAGAAGAAGCTTTTCCTGACTAGTAATACGCTGGTCATAGGCAGCTCTCCCCGGTTCGACATGTACGGAACGGATTTCGGGTGGGGAAAGCCGGTTGCGGTGAGGAGCGGAATGGCGAATAAGTCGGACGGGAAAGTGACGCTTTTTGCTGGACCGGAGGAAGGGAGTGTGGATATAGAGCTCTGTATTCTTCCCAAGACTTTAATGGGACTGTGTAACGATCCAGAGTTCCTGGAGTATGTCACTATTCCTGGAATTTGAAATTTTAAACTTCCCATCCGTCCTGTCGAAATAATGTTTTCTCCAACCTCCTGTTTATGTTGACGAGTTTAATGTTTTGTTTATTGAGAAAAAAGTGTCCATTTAGTATATCAAGTTGTAAGGTAAATAGTACTCCCTCTCCCTCTGTCCCTAATTTAACTTCTCACTTTCCTTTCCGGGCAGTTCCGAAATTAACTTCACACTTCAAAACTTTTCTTATTTGGCAAATAATCTACATAAAAAAAGTGTTACACAGTGTCAAACAGTGTTAAACAGTGTCCAAACAGTGTTTAAACGGTGCAAAACAGTGCACTCCACAGTAAAGTCAAATTTATTTTTTTAATCTGTGTGAAGTCAAACTGTGAACTTAATTACGGGACGGAAGGAGTATATCATTTCGCAAGTGTGTTTGAGAGGTACTCCCTCCGTCTCCTTTTAAATGTCCCGTTTTACCATATTGGGATGTCCCTATTTAATTGTCACATACCTTATTTGGTAAAATTTGTGTGGCTCAAAATCATTCTTACTTTATTCTTACTTTATCAATTAATATCAATCACACAAACTTACATTTCTTAAAACTCGTGTCATCCTCTTTCGGGACATTTAAAAGGGGACGAATGAAGTACATGAAATCGCTAAATCAGTTTTAATTGAGTCCACCTTTATATTAGAACATTTAAAACGCCTAGGTGGCAAATGGATTACGGCAAAATAAAAGCCACCTCACCAGCTAACTTGATGACACCCTTGCTTAGCCTCCTCTGAACTAGCTCTTCCTTTCCTCACAAGGGCGATCTCCTCTGAACCAACTCTCCTTGCCTCTTCGGAATCAAACCAAAACCGACCTTTGACATCTGAAATCTGTGCACCTCTGACATCGGAATAAAACCTATGAAATATGTCAAGAAAATATAGGAAACAAAAACCCATTTATTTTCATCGAAAGGTACTAGATCGAGAGAAAAAGGAAAACGCAGGGAAAACGGATGGTGTTGATTTCGCCAAAGTGCATGCTATTGGGAGAGACAATGGATGCATTATTGCTTCGTCTCAAGTCATTATAAATTGAGCCTATGTATTTCAAAAACAGGGAAAATGATTGAGAGGGAATCAGATGCTTCTGCTACAATATACTATTGTAATCAATAAGAGCACCTTCATGGACCATGGTGGTGAAAAGGGAGCAGAGTGGGATAGTTTTCTGACGTCAAATAAACGTTTGCCTCCGCCACTCCAACCGTCATCAAGTTTACACAACACACACAAATTAAAGATGACTATTATTCAAATAAAGAAGAACAGAGGAATAAATAAAAAGAAAAGAAAAGGATGTGCAGTGGGGACTGGGAGAAGGAGAGAAAACAAAATAAAATTAAAAACGTTTGCTTTGGGTTTGGTGTGTGAATCTTGAAGATATCTTTTGCAAGAGAGAGTTAATAGGATATAAGAAGATTTTTTTTTTTTTTTTGCGTTGATTAGTGTCCTTGAGCTATCCTTCAGATTTGGTTTGGGTCGGATCAGTATAGATTCTTCAGTGCAAAAATTTCAGATGCCACAGGTGGGTTTTGGTTCAGAGGTGATAGCCCTGTGAGGAAAGGAAGAGCCGGTTCAGGTTACAGGTGGCTTTTATTTTGCCATATCACCAATCCGTTTTAAACGCGGGTTTTTTACAAGAATATTACTAAAATAAAACATATTTACATAAA